CATTGTTATACTCTCTGGCCACTGTAGTACCTGAAGACATGACATTTACTTACAATCTTTCCCATCTGGGCTGTTTAATAATGCTCATATGTCAATCTCCTTAACATTTTAACTTGATATAACTTTTATGACTGGAGCAAATGAGAACTCCCTTTCATCTTAAATGCAACATAAGCTGATGAAGTATGTCATCGGTGTCGGGGCCTGATTGAGGAGAGAGGCTGTTAATTCTGCTGAGGCATCAAGGCGTCCTCACATCTCGCTGCAGACACTGGTGATTTAGTGGAGTGGGTCCTGTAGAGACTGTCAGCAGCTGAAAAGCGATGCTCAGCGTGACAAAGGACAGAGCACACCACTGGAACACGCTCACACACTCTCACACAGGTCGGAAGACACACAAGTTCATCTCTGCGCGTATGCGTGTGTTTGTTATGTATTGTTAGATAGGTCCCAGTGAAAGTGTTTTTGTAATTTAAGTTGCATATGAGAAGGGTTTTGACATTTACAATCTTTGTTTGACTTTGTTATGCCCAACAACAGCAGCTTGGCAGAGCAAGACAAAATATCACACAGGCCTAGACAAAAGGCACAACAGTAACACACAAAGCATAGTAATGTGGTCCTCAACTGTGCATGGCAGCAATGAATAATAAGAAGAAGAAAGTTTATTTATTCCTCAGATAGCGCCCATTAATACACATTACTGTAAATATGCCAGAATTAGCCAACAGGCTATTTTTTTTTATCTGTAGTCCGTGGCCAGCTGTAAACGTAGGCAGCCTATAGTCAATATACAATCAAGAAACAATTTAAAAACAACAATCATGATGTAAGACGTGTTAATTACAGTAAAAGCAGAATGCAGTCAGATAGAGAGCAGAGCACAGACATGGGCAACAGTAAAAGAAGATCAAATTACGATTAGACAAATCAAAAACAAACAACAAACAAGCAAGCATGAGCAAAACAAAAAGACAACAATTGCATTCACAATTGTGGTTGGAGTCAGGTAACACGATGAATCAAAGAACATACACCACCGACCAAAACTTTGGAATCACCTTCAACAAAAGCTTGATTGGGTACAGACAGTGTGTTGACTATTGTATTTTTATTTTGTCCTTCATGCTTTTAGCTTGAAGAAAGTCCTCTTTACAAATAGATGTTATTCTGTATGCAGGGTTTGCATAAAACTGTTTTTGGTGGAGATGGATGGAGAACAAAACTCTGTACAATGGTTCAGTTGGATCATTACAGATATTATCAATAAACAGTTTCTCAGTTGATTTTCTAGAAAACTGACTATATCATCTAAATTCCATATTCTGACATAGGATTGAGTATACTATGAAAGAGGATTTTAGCTTGAGATTACTTATTCTAGTAGGATTGCACAGTAGATTTACATAACTTTTGCAATAGATATGCAAAAAATAAAAATAAAAATGTTCTCTACTCTAAAATATTTGCAGCGATTACTGCCTCTAGTCATAACAGAATCCCATTAGACGTGTATTTTGGAGGTCAGAGTATTTGGTCTGAGTTCAAATTAATTGAACTGTGGCTGCTCAACCTTGGCGAACGACCAACAAAGTGTGCATGGCTATGTCTCACACAGCCGCACTTTCAGTTGGAAATAATGTTCTATCTGTGGTGGTGTTGAACTTATTATATTTGATTATTGTAAAGGAATAGGTGATTATCTGGGTTGAGATGTGGGGACTGCAGAGGCCATAGCATATAATTCATATCATTTGTCAACCAATAATGCCCTCCATGGAAGCATCAGTATTTATTATGCTTTTCCATTCATTCAGTTTAATCCTTTTTGTCACCCATCTGTATGTGATTTCCAATAAGAGGGCAGTTTCAGTTCAATCTTTAATTCCTTTATTTTTATTGCCTTCTTCCCTCCAATCAAATGTCTCTGACTTTTTTTCCTCCGGTCCCTTCGTCCCTCACGCCCCTGCCCTTCCTCTCTCTCTCCTAGTGAATATTCAGTCGAGCGAATGAAGCCAGCGGTGAAGTTGCTGTCAACCGATGACTGACAGTGTGTGCGGCACATGTGTCCCTGCTGCAACCCCCCCTCCGTTGCTCCCAAATTTTGGGTCCGAGTGTGAACGGGTGCGTCTGTTTCTGTCCTGCGGCGACGGCCCAGATGCCAGGTTGTTAGGATGACTGAGCAGGTCTGTGTGTGTGTGTGTGTGTGTGTGTGTGTGTGTGTGTGTGTGTGTGTGTGTGTGTGTGTGTGTGTGTGTGTGTGTGTGTGTGTGTGTGTGTGTGTGTGATGGCGGAAGTAAATCTCCTCACGCTTGGCTGCACGCGGCACTATTCACAGCCACCGTCATCACTCTTCCTCAGGTATGACAGCGGCTCTCCAAAAGTGTGTGTTTGGTGTGTTCGTTGTGTTACATTGGCTCCACCCCGCTGACAGCGGTCGGCCTTATGAGTCGTAGTCGGGCTAGAAACCGAGGGAAGGGAAAACATTAAAACGGTTCCCGAGGATGTGTGTGTGTGTGTGTGTTTGTGTGTTACTGTCAACACAGGTACGCTGTGTTCTTTTAAAGTGTCTGAGCTCCACTAGTTTGGCAGAGTGAGAGGGGAAGAGTGGGAGGGAGCTGTCAGTGTAGGGACATTTAACGGGTGGGAGTTGTGTGTGTGTGTGAGTGTTGATGTGTGTTTGTTTCAGGGTTGCCCAGTGTATGAAGGGATTAACCCTGTGGGAGTTTGACTGTGCTCTCATGTGTAGCCAACTGTGCTGTCTGCTGCAGCTTCACACACACACACACACACACACAAAATTTTGCAGTACACAGAATACAAGACCACACACTTTGCATTCACTTCATCACATCCACAACCCTTGTATATACATTGGCACATAATCCGTCTCCCTGGCTCTCTCCGTTGCTCACTTTCTCCATCACTCTTCCACACACACACACACTCCTGTCCAGTCCCCGGGGGTTCGTGCAGATAGTGTTGTTGTGACACAGACAGACTACAGCGTGACCTTAAAGTTGAGGGCGCGTGGCTGGATGTGGTCAGGGGCCCAGGGAGGGACTGCGTGAAGCTGACAATCAGAAGAGGAGTCAGGACGAGAGAGGAAAAGGTTCGGCTTGGCAGGGAAATCCTCCTTCTGTTTCCATAGCAACGGTCACACCAGTATGACCACATTCCATCACACTCTTTGCCAGTCTTCCCCTGTGTGTGATTGTGTGTCAGAATGCCCTCAAAGTGTTTACAGCCTACCCTATACAGCGCTCTGTAGTTTCCTGTGTTTCAGGTTATTTACGGTCTGAGCTGCGTGAGAATAAGATAGAGCAGCATCACTTCATCCCGTAAGGAGGAATTTTATTTACCTGGCAGCACATATAGTAATTGAAACAGACATACCTCGCTGCTGTGGAGTTGGTCTTTAATGGCAGGAGACAGGCAGCGTAACCAACTGATAGTTTCTCGGCATTTGAAGTGCAGATGGCTACCGGCACAAATGAGCGTCTAAATGGCTGAGTGGAGCTCTAGGGGCGCTTTGAGACGCCGGCTGAATGAGAACATGTGACTCTTTGAGACAGGATGGAGAGGATGCAAACAGTTCTACACGAGGGCCTGGGCAATTGCTGGCTGGCATTCCTACAGGGGACAGAAAAGCAGAAAGTCAATTGGTTAGGTTACATTAACTTCTAAGTCCTCATGCGTACCCACATACTTAATCATTTCCAGTAATGAAGGACTGCATTACCGCTAGCTCTGATAGTCAATCAAGCCTCATCTGTATTCGTGTGTGTACCCTTTAATGCATTCTGACCCTCTGTCCACCAAACACTGGACCCACTGACACCCATGTCAGTCTTCTCTGGCAGATCTTCACCTGAGATGAGATCTATCATGGGACCTCTCTCCTCATTCTAGCTTCCTGTCTCTCCCCCCCTCGCCCTCCTTTTATCGCTTCTGTCAGTGCTGGTTGTTTATGTTGTCATCTCTCGCTCAGTTGTGAAGCAGGGGTGGTGCCAGGCCAGGAGGAAATGACATGTGTTTGACAGGAAACTGCCGTAGGGACAGACAGGTCAGCCCTCTTTAACTTCGCACGGCTGCCTGTCCAAGAGCACCAATGCACGTGCGCGCACACACACACACACACACACACACACACACACACACACACACACACACACACACACACACACCACACACACACACACCCACACCCCAACACCAACATAGGCAGATACAAAGACATAAATTGTATGTGTGAAACGGCAGCAGTTGTAGCAGTGGAGTTGAGGTCTATTTGGGAACCGCCTCTGCTGCAAGCAGTACGTGTGAGCCACACTGTCACTCTACACTCTGTTGTCTCAATTGTGGGCCTGAGACGATGGCAGCTACTAACCAAAGATTGAGTTTTATTTTTAGGAGGGTCATCTTTCTTTGTTTTAATGCTTATTCATGTTTGTATAAGACATTAAATATTTGCATTAATGGAAAATAGAAAGCGATCACTATCAGACCTGGGATCTGTCCCTTGCTGAGCCGTCCACTGATCCAAAAGGATGAAGATGTGAATACTAACATTCACTTTTAGTGAGTGGACAGCTGCCACATAGAGTAAAGAAACATAAAACTGACAATCCAATCTCTCAAACCATCTCCAGAGGTAGTCACAAACCCATTTAGCTTATTAAAAACTGTAAAGTATAAATGCAGTGCATCTTGATTCTACTCACAGCAACTCAAATGCATGCAGATTAGTTTGGCCGTACAGTAACACTATAACTCGGGGGGTTAATATATTAATCTAAATAATGATTGATGACTGATCAACTGATTGGTGGTCAAGAAAAAGTATAAATATATACTTATTTTAATACTTTTTACTTAACATATTTATTTATGTAATCAGCTGTTGTCTCTTGTCTCTTTATTGCCTTTTAGCTCTGGGCTTCCTTAATGTAACGGTATTTCTTTCTCCTTTACCCCTCCCCTCCCCTCCTCTCTGGCAGGTCTTGATGCTCACTGACGGAGATGCCGACAGTTTCCTGTGCCAGCGTCTGCCCGTCCTCTCCTCCATGTCCCAGCAGGATGGTGTCGCCACAGCCTATGTCTGCCAGGACTTCACCTGTTCTCTTCCAGTCACTGACCCCCAGGAACTACGCAGGCTACTGCTGGATGGGACCACGGAGACGCAGGCAGAATGACAACTGGAGAATTGACTGACTGTTACAGGAAAGCTGTAATATTAATAGACCGCTCTCAGCAGCCCTAGTGTAGCTTATCTTTGCTGTCTTTGGCTAGTGAGTGTGGCTGCCAATACTTAAAGGGTAGGAATAGTTACAGTACCATGTGGTGACTGGTGACTTTATTCCAAACCTGTTACTTGAGCCTGTTTTTTATTACCAAGACCAGCTAAGTAGTGCCTCAAATATTTTGTTTAGCAGGCTCTCAGAGTTGATCAGCACAGCCATATTGAATTTCAGGTGTACAAATGTCCTTATAAAGAAATCTGCACAGCAGCAGTGGCAGCCTACTGAAAATATGCAGCACTTGTACAAAATGTCCTGTCTTGACTGTTAGCCCAGAAGTAAACTACAGACTCTTACCAGACTACAACCTAAGACCACTTGGAAGAATTGGACCGAGAATATTTCGCAGATGAACCAACCTGCCCTGTTGTTCTGTCCTAGCCCCGTGTTCCAGCTCCCACAATCCATGTCACATGGATGTGACAGTGGAGGCCTGTGTCTGTGTGTTTGAGTGTGTAAAAAGGTTGGTTTGCAGGTTTGTATGTACATACATTTTAAAAGTTGACTGCGTGTGCATTTGATTTCGTTTGTAGTAACGTCACAAGTGAGCGAGCCTGCTCTCGTACGTTCCCCCGTGTACCATCAGCTCTCACCCTCCTTTATTTGTCTGTTATCTGGGATTTAATGTGAGAGGATTCTTCTCCACTGCTGCAGAGACTCATGTCTCATGGCTTTAATCTTTGAGGTTTAGACAACAAAACACAGCATGTATACGCACAACCCTGAATAATAAAGGTATTTCCCTTCTGAGCAGTGTCCATTTCATTTTTAGAATTTTTGTTTGAAGTTGTTATTCTCTGAGTGTGCAGCTGAAACAAGGCTTTATACGCTGGATCACTCAAACCCTACTGAAAATGTTGCTCGATTTAACATTCAGTGTTCCTTTTTTTGGGCTTTTAGACCGTAGGAATACTGAATAAATGACATAACATGTTGGTTATTTTTGTGACATTCTTATGATGTGCTCTTTCTCTCAGTCTAAGATGGGAAAACTCCAGCAGGGATGGAGTGAATGTGTCCCAGCAGCCTGTCTTTCTCTTCTTTTGTACTATAAATACTCATCATACTCATCAGAGAAACCCACTGTTGTGTATTCTTCTCCTTGTCTCTTCCCCCAGCAGGCTGGATGAAGGTAATGTAAACTCGACTGCGACTGTGTGTTGTAGCGAGAAGGGGCACGTGTGTGTGTGTGTGTGTGTGTGTGTGTGTGTGTGTGTGTGTGTGTGTGTGTGTGTGTGTGTGTGTGTGTGTGTGTGTGTGTGTGTGTGTGTGTGTGTGTGTGTGAGAGAGTGAGAGAAGGAGAGAGACAGATGGACTGTTGATGTTGAGGCGAGGGAGTTTGTCTCAGAGGGTCCTGCTCTGGGCTCTGGAAGCAAAGGAGAAGAAAAGACGGGAGGAGAAACGCAACAAACGTGATATTTCAATCAGGACGCGACTGCAGCCATGCATCCCTCACCTCGCCCGAGAGGTGAATTGAATCGCCATCTTATCCACCAACGTACTGCTAGAACACCTAGACCATCTGTACTTGTTTACTTTTGCTTTCCTTCGTCTTTCTCTCTACTTTTGTCTGCCAATCCCTCCTCCCCTCCGCTCCCCTTCAGATCTGGCGAGGGCCTTGTCGCCTCAAGAACGAGGGAAGTCATTTTGGCAGACGGCTGCTTCTGTGGAAGAAGAAGAAATTGCCGAGAGAGGATAAGAGGAAAACGGGGCCAGGAGGAGGGATATGAGGCACCAAGACCGACAGGGAGAGGAGAGAGGGAGAGGGATCACTCTGTTCCGTTTAAGCTCCGTCGTGTACCCAACCTCACTTTTCTTAACCTGTCAGATTGTGAACAGTCACGTTTTTTGGCACTTTGGGGCTCCTTTTCATGCATTTCCACCAAACTCCTCCACATTCCTCCCCCTCCCTTCTCGAATTCCATCACTCCTCTCATTATTGTTCTGCACTAATTGTTTTGATGAGCTGCACAAGCTAAATTTTAATTAGCACTGAGATTAGAGGTTGACCCCAGTGATCCTGTTGCCCCGCTAATTATGAAGCTGTGATCTACATGCCACAGCTGAGCAAAGATATTAATAACTCTATTTGTATAGACGTTTTTACAGCAACATTAAAACAACATAGTGATTGCTCAAAAGACCTGAAACACTAATAAATAAGATAGAATTTTAAATAAAACAATATAACATTTTCCATGAGATTTAAAACAATGCCAGTTAAATGCTGGTATGTTATTGACTATGAAGTGAAAATACAGACGTTGCAGTGCAGTTAGTTTAGGTATTGTGGTAGCAAATGCACAAATCCTGTGTGTGAGCTGAATAGGTCAGAAATACAGCTTAGTCAGTTATAGTCAGTAGTAGTCAGTATATGTAACTATTAACACTACTGTAGCATCATAAGTGATTCAAAGAATTTTCAATTTGATGTGAATATCATTAGTTTTGCAGGTATTTTGCCATGATGCAAAGTATTGGACAAGAGCTAATGTTGATTTGAGGATGGTGCGAGATAAGGGTATAAGTTAGTGGATCACCAGGTTGATTACAATTTACCCTGTGGACATGAATTTGTGTGCCAAATATCTTTGCAATCCATCTAATAGTTGTTGAGAAATTTCAATCACGCATATCAACCCCATGTTGGTGGTAGAGGAAAAGCCATGGAATCACTAAAGCATTGAGACATTATCTGGGAACTATGAATGTCTGAACCACAAAAGTTTGACCTGCTGGTGGTGCTACAGAAATTTTCACCAGTCATTTTGATATATCGTCTGGGAACCATGGATACCGCGATTAAATCTCATCAGATCCATCCAAAGCTGTTGCGGTATCGGAGTCTAGACTAAATCGGTGGGAGAACTGCTAAAAATGAAATAATAAGTAGTGACTACTATGTGTGTGAGCAAGGGGAAGTATGTGAAAAGACTAGGGCCCAGAATCAACCCTTGAGGTACCCTGCATGTTTAGAGGAGGACATTTTCAACCAAAAAACCACTGTCAGATTTGAAGAGGAAGCTAGTTATTCCAGCGTCATTACTAAGACAATGGAGTATGGTATTGTGATCAACAGTGTTGAATGTAACCATAAAATCAAGCTGGACTAAGAGCAAATGCCAGCATTGGTAGCAAAGTGGAGGTAATTTACACACAAAACAAAGCCTAAAACCAGAGTGGGTACAATACTTCACAATTTTCAAATGCTTTAGAACAAATCTGTAATTTGTATATACACTACATTTTATTATATGTGTTCGATGTTAAGTATGAAACTGGCTACGTACCTCTGGTTGATTATTTTAAGTTCTTATATAATGTGGATGATGTAATCTCATACTATTCAAATGATGTTTAGTTAATGCAAGACTTTTTGTTTATTACTATATGTGTGTGTTTATTTCATCATTTTGTTCTAGTTCAGGATTGGAACATTGTTGAGCCATGCCACAATCTGTGTGTGTCTTGTTTTGGATGAAAGTTTCTGTAAACTAAGGCTATCTAAGGTTGTGTGTTCTATTGTGCTCGCTATCAGATATGGCTGCTGTGTTTCAGTCTGTCTGTGTGATAATGAGGCCACAGGGGGCTGAGAACAGCGACACACTAACTTGGAGAGAGAAGGAACATTCAGAGGCAGAGCGGGTGTGGGGGGACATGGATGCTCTTATTCTACTCTTCTATCACTGAGCTCGAAAACCCAAAACATATCTTCTGTCGTATTCCAGAACATTTCACAACTTTCTAATCAGCTTCCTTTAGAGAGGCTTTAGATGTAGAAGTCTTGAAAAAGTGTGTTTCTTTATATGTGTATTTATGTGAAAACAGTTTTATTATATATTTGGGTATGTACTATTGTTTGTTTTATGTGTGTGTGTGTGAGTCAGAGAAGGAATCCCACTACCAGTGCCTCTCTGATAAGCCCAAGAAACTCCAAAAGGGAAAATCAATACTTCTGCTCATCAACCCACGCTGGAACCTTGGTGATTACATTCAGACCCACACAAATACAAACACGCGGAAAAAAAAAAAAAAAAAGGGAGAGAGTCCTTGGAATCCAAATGTCTTGATGTACCATACTGTCCTAATGTATATTATGCTGTTGATCTGGTATGACTGCAGGGTGGTGAGAGGACATGGTCACCTCCTGTTTCTTGTAGCAGAAATGGTTTTATGGCTGGATGAGATGCCACAATATCAGCCTGAGACAACAGACGTGACACAAAATTGAGCATTTAGCCCATGCAGTATGTGATAGAGCAAGACGAACAATTCTACATCTAGAATTTGTCTTCTCTCGCCTTGTAAGTCTGTCTTATGCTCCTCTTGTCCAGTCACCTTTGCACGTCGTACATGTGAAAGATCAAGCCACAGAATAACTGGTCGGGGTTCGTTGTATAATGTGACTGTATCTGTTGTTATGGCCACTTGGGGGCACCAGAACGAACCAAAAGTACAACGCTGACATTTTTTAAACATATTTTATGTAGCATTTTGTCAGCTATACATACAGGAGAGACCGAGCAACATTAGCATTCACATACGCAGTCTTGTTTTTGTCCACCTGATGATTGTAAGTCCAATATTTAGTCTTCCTTTATTTTCCTTTTCCTTTATCTATTATGTTTTCTGAGAGAAATATATGAGCTGCTAATCACTGCGCTAATTTACCAGCTGGTTGCCAACGTTGTCTGTCCTCCAGTTGGTGCTGGGCAGGTAGCGTATGGTGAGTTTATCAGAGCTTTTTTTTTTTTTTTACTGTGAACAACCTCCTGCTGTGGTTGGGAACAAGACTGATGAAAACAAAACAGTTAAGTTACAGAAAACCAAAACAATGAGCTGAAAGACACTAAAACTCTTTAGAGCAGAGAGAAACTGCCCTTGTGTGATAATTCCATGTGGAATTACACAGTCATTTTATCCATTATTAGTATAAAAATATTCATTAGTGCAACTTTAACTTAATCTGGCATAGTGTCACTCCAAAAACATTTATGCCACTGGTATGATGCCTTAGGTACAAAGCTGGAGCCTGCAACATTGAGCTGATCGTCAAAACTTTCTGGAAAGAACAGATGCTGATTTTGCTCATTGCTGGAGGAGAATGGGTTCCTCACTTCCTTAATTTCCTTAACTGAACTTCCTTAATTAGCCATAACGATATAAAGGGTTGATGGGATTTTGCTTATGTCTTATATTATTGATTTTCTATTTGTTTTTCATTCCCCTTGATTCAGCAGTCTTCAGAAAAGATAGTTGAGCCCACCATTTTTTTTTTCTTTCCCCCCCTTCCCATATTGATGTTGTTTTTGTTTTTTTCTGTCACGGTTCGTTGATACCAGTGTGAAGCGCAGTTTATCAGAATGGCCAGGCTATTGTTGTGGGAGGTGGTGATGAAGGTGAAGAAAGATCCGTCTATCCACATTCATCATCACTCTCTCCGGACTCAGCGGGAGGGCTAGACGGATGGAAACGGACATCATAACAAACGACTACAAATCCACACATTTCCACTTTATAGCATCATACAGCACATGGAACTAAAACAGTGTCTGTCTTTTCACCCTATTTCTCACTCTCCTAACCTTTCTGTCTCTCTCCCTTCTTGTCCTCTGTGATATTTTCGCCAACTCTGTATGTACATGACAGAAGTGGGAGTGCAGCAGTGTTGGATCATGGCTCAGGCCGTATCAGCTGCAGCAGCATGTCAGAAGCAGTCATGGGCAGCGGAGTGCATCCAGCCAGACGCT